TGTTGCATTAGATGCATACAACCTTTGTAGCCGTGGAGTTAAAGGAAAATAATACATCTTCTTGTAAGAAATATTAGTTTTCTTCTTGGAACGTTGATGTTTTGATCTCTTAAATCGAGGATGAGAGCAAAATTTGCAATTGATTAGTTCACTGTCCTTACTCCAATAAAGCATACATCCATTTTTGCAACAATCAATCTTCTCAACTGGCAAGCCTAATCCCCGCATTAACTTTTTAGTACCATAGAAGCTATCGATCATTTTGTTATCACTTGGCATCAATTTTGATATAAACTGACATAACTCATTATACAAGCTTTCCGAAAAATGATGTTATGCCTTAAGATTCAACAAACGAGCAACAACAGACAATTGTGTATGTCCATGTGGATTTCCCGTCCAAATCTCTTGTTCCGATGCTTTGAGCATATCATAAATATGTTGTGTTGTTGGATTTGGGTCCTCTTCCACGTTACCATTATAAGAAGGCCCAACAACATCAAAAACCATTGATTGGAATGCATTATAGGATTGAGGATTCACGGTTTCACCAAATGCTTCTTCTTGATGATCATTAAGCACACTTGGATTTGAAATATAACTTTCTCCATGGTGATACCAACGGTAATAATCCGGTACAAAGCCATAAGTTTCTTAGATTGTGTCATAATTTGTAAACTCGTCCAAAATATTTTTGTTTCGACACTTACGATGATTACAAGGACATCTTAACTTCTCACCATCCATGCACTGTGGATGTTTTTTTGCAAATGCAACAAAGTTCTCAACTCCATCAATAAACTTTGGATTTATGAATCCATCTTCCAGTATTCTAACATACATCCACTCACGATCAGAGTTACTCATATTATATATGCTGACACAAATAATAAATGTGTTAAAATTTACATGATGACTACTAATTTTTATATGACACTAGAACCAAGAGGTAGCAAAATATAATGAATTCAAATTCATAAACAATCAATTAATCACCAAAAGTTATAGTAGTTAGTGTTATACAATTTAAATGTACACTAGAAATAGTGTACTATTTTATTTTAAACAATACTACATGTCAAGGTGATCATGTAAAAACATATATGCCAAAGATGTATATAAGTTTCATTCTACTTGTACGACACCAATATCTTTTTTAGTGATAACATCCAAAGTTTTGCAAAATATTCATAGCAAATTACTAATACTGAGTTAGTGCATCTTCACTGAAGAATGAACAAAAGTCCAGTAGAAAATTTTAAAATTTCAGTCTTTGTCAATTGATATCCAGAAACATCAGCAGAAGCAGCAAGAAATAAGAAAAATCTATTAGAAAACTTTGAGATACATTAGCCAAGAATCCAACATCTATTTTTGAAGAACCACAACTAAATAACATTAGGTAGATAATATAAGCAAATGGAATAAATTAGCAGAAAAGACAAGCTAGATTAACAACATCTCGGCAGAAACCGTTAAAACAGGGTAGCTGGCAGCGATATTGTTGCAGCATAGTAGAAAATTTTAAACAAAATTTATGTCGTTATGAAGTTGTGTAGAAAATAAAAACAGAGCCAGCATAAAAGATATGTACAGTTGCTGTTAATTTAGAAATTAATGTACTATGCTCTAAATGTTGCACCTCTAAGCAGTAACTAATTTAACTGTAACTATTCTCTAAGCAGTAACTAATTTTGCATATATGTTTAGAAACTACAACTTAACAACATTTGGAAGGAAATAGAAACAAACGAACTGAGTGAATAACATAAAAGGCAAGCTGAAGTAACAACATGTGGGCAGAAAATGTTAACAAAGAGCAGCTGGCTGCTATGTATAACAACATGTGGGCAGAAAACAAGTTGCATACTTCATGGATAAATGGCCATCTAATGGTACGTACCTTCTTTGACTTTTTATTATAATAATTTCTGTTGGAATTACACTTGGATTTCAATGTAACAAATGATCACCTGCTATTCTTTTTTTGTCTTTTTCAAAAATTAACTGAATCTCTAAATCTGTAATTAGACTTAAATGATATCCATCGTAGTAATTTAAACTAATCAATCCCAAAAATCCCTTCAAAATTCATATTTATATTCAAAGAAATGTCATTGAATACCTAAACAAGAGGAATAGATTAATACCCCATTATTGTGAATATGTAAGACTTATAAACAGTGAAACAGAGAGTCATTGCAGATTTAAACGACAGGTTCTCCATAGTCCTACTTCAACCTATAATTCCACAACAACAAAATCAGTCTTTCACATCTATGTTTTTATAGTTGGAGTTTCTAATATTTACTTGTAACCAAGAAGATGAGTCATTGAATTACAAGTCATATACTTGTATATTTCTATATCATGTATATGGTCACAAAATCTCAACACCCAATAATTTTTGAAGTTGAAATCATTAACCTAATAAATGTTAAAAAAGATGAAGAAGAAGTAACTTGAATACACAAGAAAAAAACGTCATTCATATAACTTATGAAAGAAACACAACAACTCGATCGGAAGATGAACCCACCTGAAATATTGTCCCAAGCAAAGTTGTGTTGGATTATATTTCGAACAGCGCAGCAACAACTCAATCAGAAGAATGAACACACCTGAAATTTTGTCTCCAACAAAGTTTTAATGGATTCTATTTCAACCAGATCGAGCAGCAACAACACGAGGAAGAAGAAGACACCTTTACCAATTTAATGGAAGAATGTCGTTGAGATTAGGGGAGACAACAATAGCACAAAGAAGAATACACATCTATCCATTCAAGGGGCAAAGCATCGCTGAGATTAGCTAGGGCAGCTGGGTTTCATTCATTCTCAATTGTAGTGGTGATCTAAAGAGAATAGGGCAACTTTTAGGACAAACTTCTATTTTGAGAATTAGTTTTTTTCTTTTTACTTTTAGAATTAATTTTTTAGCGCCTCAAATTTTGATAAAATAAAAACTTTTCGTATTGACGGAAAGACTTTCCCGCTCAAGCCTCAAAATATGCATCCAATTACATTTACACTTTATTCTTTGGAAACTTCTTAAATATTGGTCTTAGTAAAGGCTTTTTTGTAGTGAAAACAATGAAAAGTGTTGAAAATTTTGGGGGAAAGTTAAAAGGTCATCTAATATTTTTTTAAATTTTCGCGGAAAAAATGGTTCATTAAGTTAAAGATTTTATAATTTATTGTCTTTTTATTAAATTGAGACGGAATGTAAATCCGTCATAATTTTTGTGATGATTTTGTGACGACATATATTCATTTATTTTTATTTGCTATCATTTTGTGACGGAAATGTTCTGTCACAAAACTTATATTAAATATTTGTTATAAATCTGTCACAACTTCGTCACTATCAGAATTTTAGTAGGTAAAAAAATTCTTTTAATTTTTTTTATTTATATAAGATGAATCTGTCACAAATCCGTGACAATTTGTGACAGACTTCTCCGTTCCAAATATTCCGTCACAATTTTACTCTTTTCTTGTAGTGGATAATGTTAAGTCTCGTTTTTCATTTGCTGCTTATATCAATAAAATTTGGTCCTGCTGATTTTTTTTTTTAAAAAAAAAGTTCTATAAGGGGTTTGAAAGTTAAAGTTATGTTTGGACATGAAAATCTATTTTTAAAAATTGAGTGAAAGCTTTTAAAAAATCTAAAATCTAGTTTTCAAACTTCAAATTATATATTCTAAATTTGGATTTTAAATAATGGGTTAATTCAATAAAAAAAAAAGAACTTATGTAAAATATTTACAATTTTTGAAAATATATGTATGAACAAAGGAATACAATGATTACGGGCACATCATAAATTACATAAAATAAACAGTGAAACAATAGCGAAGTAGCGCCCATGGCCTAATGGATAAGGCGTCTGACTTCTAATCAGGCGATTGTGGGTTCGAGTCCCACTGGGCGTGTCTTTTTTTTATTAATTAGGCAAATTGCATTTTACACTCCTCTAAAATCGAACTAAATTTTTAATTTTAAAAATATTACCTCACTCATCTTTTTATTCAGTCATAAATGGTTTTGGACCCGATTTGAATAAAAGAAGGATTGGATTTTTTTAGTTAGATAGAGTCTAGAGTAGGGTTGTTCAAAACCGAATCGAAATTGATAATTCGAATAAAAAAAAGATATTAGTTTATCAGTAATGGGTTATTGGATTAGTGGTTCAAATAACGATTTTGATTTTTATTGTTATCGGGTTATCAGTTCTTAACGGTTTGAGGTTTTTTTCTCAATGGGTTAACCGATAACCAGATAGTAAATTAAATAATTATATTTATACCATTTTGTATATAAAGTCCTTGACTTAGAGTTTAGTTTCCTATTTTTATTTTTGGCTATCTCAAAATCTTGGTTATTCTACAATGTAAAAATGTTTGCTTTTGAGCAAGATGCAACTTGTGAACTCATGTACATGATTCATTTGATTTGTCACCTTGTTTCTAAGTGATTTTCATTAATTTATTTTCTAAGTGATTTTCATTAATTTATTTTTGTGTCAAATCTTAACGGTTAAACCGATAACCGAACCGATAACGATCAATAACTGATAAACCAATAACCGATAAGCCAATATCTTAATGGTTTTATAACGGTTAGCATCTCTACAAACCGATAACCAATAAGTCAAACCGATATACTTCAAAACCGAACTGACCGATACACCCCTAGTCTAGAGTGGTCAAAGAATTTTTATTGATCATTTTTATAAAATAAAACCTATTGATATTTTATAAAAATGATCAAAGAATGTTTTTTAGGTAAAATCGAATTACGATTTGATTTGATTTGAACAACCCCAGTAATGACTATGGCTCGCTAATAGTTTCTATATGCCACGATCCAAAAATTCCGGACCATGATAGCACCCTATCTCAAATTTACTTGAGTAGGCAAATCAATTCTTTAATAACCAATTAATTAAGTAGAAAATGCGAAATTTAATAAATCAAAAGAGGGAGTAAGTCTTAAATAGATTTTTAGATAAAACAAAACAAAATCAACATTCCAAAATTTGGTGAAATGAGTACATGCTTGTAAGATTCAAAATGTGGGATAAAGTATTATACTCTTTGAGGATAATAATTAAGGACGATAACAAAATATAAAGATATATAGGAAGTCTGGAAATGGCAGAACAACAAAGCAATTACTTCCAAGACTTTAAATGAACGAGAAAATCACCTATATATCACTCGTATTGTAATTAGAACCTCCACACCAAAGGTGCAAAAAAGTAAGGTTGAGTATAATGAACACGTTTATTCAGCAGCATCATCCACTGATCATAAATGAAGTGATGACAAGAGTCGCTCTTGTACTGTCTCTATACCCTCACTAAAATTCTATGAGTAATTTTGAGTGAAAAATGAGATTTTTTTTGGTTTTGCAAATTCTTGAAATTTCTGAAATTCAACTTCAATGTATATTTTAAATTCTTTTGGTCAAATGTATTGCATAAAAAGTGAATATAATTCATGTCCAGACACCTTAAACTTGCTTTCACAACCAACCAGGACACCACGTAATTAATGAAAATGAAATGAAGGTATAAGGCTTGGAGCAGACAAAACATATGGTAGTCAGATATCATTTTATCCGAGATATTATATCTAAAGGGGTTGTTGTTGTGAATAAAGTGTCTCCACATGATAATCCAGGAGATATGATGATCAAGACAATCTGAACCAATAAATTTAGGCATTGCCTAGACTTGATTGGAGCGAGTTGTACTCAATAAGCCTTTTGGAGGGCTGGGAGCAAATCAGAGAGGCATTATTTCAATTGACGAAAGGAATTCAAGCCAAGTGGCTGATTTGTTTATTATGTCTTGAGTTTTTCCTTGTATATTCTAGGAAGCTATAACTCCTATGAGTTTAGCAGACCCTTTGTCCTAATAGGTTAGGAAAAGGAAAATATTGTCCTTATAGCATTGGGAAAACTTTTTCCTTATAGGTTTGGGATTACTTGGGATCTATATATGGGATATAGTTCAGAATTCTAAGGCATGGTACATGATACACAATGTAGTCCCAAAGGCTTGAAAGCATTGCAAGCTTCTTCTTTTCTTTCATAGTGGAAAACTCTATCTACTTTTAGTGGGAGGAGTAGGCCTAGTTGAACTTCATTAAATCATTGTGTTATTCTTCTTCTCTAATTTCTTTGTTTGTGATTCTGTGCTAGTTAATCCACGATATTTTTGCAACACGTCTAATGCCTGAAAACATAATAGACTCACACACCTTATTAATATAATAAACAGAAAACATAAGCAAAATGTCATCATAGTTGATCTCGCAACCTCTTTCTTCATCTCCGCGGTGTTTCCACTTCCTCCAAAATACATTTAGGCTTGCTGCACAAGGTGAAACAATTTTGAAAAATAAGTTGGGTTCCTGCAATGAACTATCAGAAACTGATTCTCATTTCTGACCTAGATCTAACTGAATACAAGAAAAAATTTAAGCATTCCGCTGCATATAAGTGCAAGTCCTATGCATCCAAGTTCATTACATACTAGGTAACTTGGCCGCGCTATGCGCGGTCATAATCTTACATAATATTTGAATATAAAAGAGGTTTTAGTTCAAATTTAATTAAATAGATCAAAATTTAGATTTTAGTCCATCTTATTATTCACACCGAACCAATTTCTAACAAGTAGAATATACTATTACATGAAGGAAGTAAAAGCACTTTTTCTTTTTCCGTTAAATATAAATTGATCAATGTCATATAACCAGCCTGAAGATAAACAAAACTCATTAAAAAAAATTATATCGGAAAAAGAGAAGAACATAGTACATCCATAACAAAGTAAAAATAATTGTATTTATTATCGGAAAAAGAGAAGAACATAGTACATCCATAACAAAGTAAAAATAATTGTATTTATTATCGGAAAAAGAGAAGAACATAGTACATCCATAACAAAGTAAAAATAATTGTATTTATTATCGGAAAAAGAGAAGAACATAGTACATCCATAACAAAGTAAAAATAATTGTATTTATTATCGGAAAAAGAGAAGAACATAGTACATCCATAACAAAGTAAAATAATTGTATTTATGTGCCGGAATTATTATAGATTTAAAAAGTAGAATTTAAAAAATAAAATGAAAAACAAAGCTGATCATTTTGTGTAATTTACATTCCGTACATATGTATTAATTAGCTTACATATATATATATATATATATATGTGTGTGTGTGTGTAATTTTATGGAATATGGTGGATTGAAGATAGAGAACTGATTTTTAAATTATAATTTTTAATTTTTTCTTCACTTATACTTAAAAAGATAATGAATAACATAACGTTTATAATGTAAAAAGTAAAAAAAAGAACGAAATTCAACCGGTAATAATATGATAGTTGAAATGGATTGTAAGATGTATAAAAATAATTTGATAAAATATGGAAATTGTAATGTCTAAAAATATGATGAAGAAGGGAAATGATAATCTTGAATGTGAATCTCCATGAAACTAAATATGAATTTATATAGGCATAATAGAGAATTAGCATAAGACATCATAAACCTACAAATTATGTTTGGAGGTTATGGACATCAAAATTATGAGAGTCTTGAATATTTATTTATTAAAAATAAAAATGAAAGAGGTGTAGGTCATGGTTAAATAATAAAGAAAAAAACACTTAAAATATTAAAATATATTATCATTTTATGATTAGAAGTGATGCTAACAAAGAAAAAGAAAAAAAATGTGAAAAGTCTTTGTTATACTTTTTTTTAGCCCAATTTTCTATACTTTTTTCACTTAACAAAATGAAATTGAATTTCACTTTCTATATCTAAAAAGTAAAACTTTAATTTTCATGTAATGAAAATCCCGGAAATTGAAGTAAAAAAATATCAACGCGAATATTTTCATTCGTTTGAGCTTTGAAGAAA